GTCATAGATCCGTTTTTAAATTGTTGTGATGACGGCACGATACCAAGCGAAGCAAGCAGCTACCACAATGTACACGTTTGATGAAACGAAGGAACCAGTTATAGCTTTGTTTGCCTATTGCTATGCCTGTTGATTAAAATGTTGCTGTTGCATGAACGCTACTTTTAATATGGTAATGAACAGTCAGCCAGTATGTATTTTGGGTTGTTTGCGCGCGGTGATAGCCAATTTCTCTTTTTTCATTTTAATTGGACCGTAATTAATCAAATCATCCCTTTTTGATTCAATATTACCAAAAAAGTTGTACTTTTCTTTGATCCACGTTTTATCATTTTTTCAATGACATGACACGTGCGATAAGAGGAGAATTCCCGCAAATTATCCCTAAAGAATAAATCATGCCCGGTTAGTCACTAAATCAATACAATACCGTATTAAAACCACACACAACCCTCAACTACGAAGCTATAACACTGTTCTTCATTAAATTACGGTGCAGCCGGTGATAGTATCCCAGCAAAACGGATCACCACTGCTATCATAACTTGACATATTCGTATCTGAAAAGCTCCGTATTTGTACAAAATGCGGTGATTACGATTAAATCCATGATGACATTTATTTATCGCTAATTTAAATAAAATAAGCGTTCGTTACAAATTGCAAATAAATCCTGGTAAAGAAATTAAAATTTGAATATGTTTTTTCTGGCAGTCGTTGACCTAATAACGAATTGAAAGTTATATTAGTTTTGCTTGGCCATGATAATCCGTTTATGCTCGTCTCAATTTTAGTTTAAATATTAAATTTAAGCGGTACCCCACAAAATTAAATTACATGGGAAAGAATGTGAGTGCAATACAAGGAAGCATTCTTATGATGAATACAATGTTTGGCGTTGGTGTTCTTTATCTGCCGCTGATCTACTACTCGCTCGGCTGGGTGCAGGGACTTGTCCTGTTCGCGATGATTGCGGCTGTCACCACGCTCACGATGTACTTGCTCGGCGTGGCAGCAATTGAATCGGAAGACCCCCATCCTACGTACTACTCGGTTTGTGTGAGGTCGTTTCGTTTTATGGGACCCCTTGCTGACTTTACCACACTGTTATGCTGTTTCTTCTGCTGTATGGCATATTTAACGTTTATCACCAATACCGTGCATTGTGAAATTAAACAAGCCGTTCCCAAGGCGGCTATCACGGTTGCTGCTGCATTTTTGGTATTCCTTCTTGCCGTACAGAAGGATCTTTCATCTCTGAGGATCGCGTCGTTTGTATCCGTATCTTCAATCGTGTACCTCGCGTGTTTTGTCGCGTACGTTTTTTTGGTCAACCGCGGGAATGTAACTGTTGTCAAATTCAACAAAGGCTATTCGACCGGCTTGAGTGGTCTGCTGTTTGCGCTAGGCTGCCAGCAAAACATGGTGGCCGTTTATTCGCAGTTGAAGGATAATAGCCGATCAGGCGTTCTTAAAGTGGCGATAGGTGCCGTGTTGATGGGTGGCTTGCTTTACATGGCCATCGGACTGTTCGGATATTTTGGTTTTGGCGAGGCCGCCACGACAAATATTCTGAAGGTGCTCACTGATGATAGCTCGAGTGTCCGTAAGATGTTGTTGGAGCGTGGCGCAGCCAACGAGTATGCTATAAGGGCATGTGACTGGTTGTTCATTGTGACGTTAAGCTGTTCATTTGCTTTCCAGTCACATCCCGCAAGGACAGCACTGACAAATATCCTAAAACAGTTCGTCGGTGTTAAGAAGGAGGTGCTCGCAAGCAACAGATACCGATACATAGCAACGAGTGCGTATGTCGCGCTTATCTGTGTCATTGCGTGCTTCGAGTTTGATTGCGATACGATCGTGTCGTATATTGGAGCAACGTGTAATAATGCAATATGCTACATTATGCCGGCACTTGCATTCATCGGACTGGTCAAGCGATCGACAATCCTCAGACCGATTGCATACGCAGTTGTTCTGTTGGGCGTAGCCGGTATGATTTACATGGTTGCAATGAACATCATGAAGTAGGATGGAAAATAAGTACCGAAGAGAAGGTCAGGTTTGATTGATAGCGTTACGGGTAATTAAACGTTCTTTTCTTTATTTATGTTCTATCTGTCTTTGCCGCATGGTGGAGCAATGCAGTGCTAGGTCGTTTTTTAGCAGGCAAATACAATTGTGTGGTATAGCACGCTTTTCATAGAACATGCAATGTCAATATTAGCGCGCAAGCAAAACAGCCAGAGCATAGCGATGTTATCGACAAGCACCGTATGATGCCCATTTCCAAAATTATTTATTGTTTTAACACAGATGACGGTTTCTCTCACCAATGATAACCGTGGTATTCTCAGTACGTTTGATTTTCGTATTGCCATCCCCCGCAAAACAGTTAGGGCCAGAGGTAGTATGGTGCACTGATACATCTCTTACAACACAATAATGCTTTTCCTGTCTGCTACTCCTGATATGACCGCTCCATTTTTTGCAAGATCGACCCGGCACGCAAGTACACGGTTTATCATCATGAATTATTTTTTACCGCCTCTAAACCCAACGCAACTGAACAAGTCCTATTAGTGCTATAATTATTGTTGATCTGCAGGACATTCATTCGTACTATAAAACGACAACTCAGAAGCTGATTGATCAGTTCTCTAAAATAAATTACTCGACCTTGCATGCAAAATAAAATTATTTTATTCCATATTCCTACGCAAGATAAATAGTTAAAGATTTTCATTCAATTCACTTCTTCTGAGACACTCTCAGCTGTCCTTTACAAACAATATTTATAGAACATGGTTACCGAATGCAAATTAATTTATTAATCCCTGTCAAAAGACGGAAATAGCATCGCTAGTATTTCTAGGTTTCTGGTGACAAGAGTGCCGAAGGGTTGGAGATTACTCGACACGTTGAGAACAGTCTCTCAACTTTTTTGTTTATTAATGTCAAGGAGTTTAATGAAAATAGCAGCGGCACCACATGTCACAATGTTTCCTAACCGATCACAAAAAGACGGCACAATATAATGCTCGGTTAGCGTTACTTTTCATCACGATTTTTTACACGAAAAATAGAGCCCCTCAATTTTCAAGGAGCTCAAACATTTGGATTTCAACAGGTTAATAAGTTTTGGAATAACAGAAGACCGATGCGCCGCAGAAAGAGTTGCATAGTGGACATCTGCAGCCTGAAATTGATTGCAAAAACAAAGTTGGGTGCGAAGAAGATACTGAGCACATCATCAACTGGATGAGGAGATTGAGGTGTGTTTGGTGATGGATAGGCTCAAGCTCAGGTCATAAAGGGGTTGATCAAGGTTCTTAAATACCGAATACTGGACTTGAAATTAGAACACAGAAACGGTACAAACTTGAACTTCAAGCTAACCCTTAACCCATGTTTCTTTATAGCATGAAGAATAATCAAACCACTGTTTCTGGGATACACATTAATACTACCAAATGATGAAAAGGGTTGAGGAACGTGCAGGGCTGTGCCGTCTCGTGCAGCGAAATAGATAAGCGAAGATGTGCGTTGAAATCGAATTTCTTGTATGTACGGCCAGCCAAGCTGATGTTCTCAAAAACATGTGTCAAACAGTAGAGAGAAACAGATTTTTGGAAAAGGCTGCCAACAGATTGAACACAGGATCAGATACAGAGACACGGTGGAATATTTTCTGTCACTAAAGCTGTAACCTGTACGCATTTTTATTTGTTAGCTCTTCTCTGTTCTACTGAATTGTACCGATAAGAACATTTCGGAGCAAGAACAGTTGGAAGGAAGACAAACAGCTAGTTTTAGATGGTGCACAAGGATGCGGGATCAAATAGGATACTATCCGCTGTATGAGCACGAGAAAACGACATTAGTTGATAGCGCGGTGCGAATACCACGGTTTCATTTCGAAAATTTCGCCCTTGATGGGATCAAAAAATGTTCAAATGGTTATTGTGCAGGGTGCGTTGAATACAAAAAGACACAGTTGGATACTTTTACGAT